AGTGACCTCATTCAAGGTTGAGATTACCGGAAACGGAGGAACATGATCCTTGAATGACACAAAACCGTTCCTTCCGGTTACGCGTGAAATCATCCACTTCTACAACATTCCTAATTTACCGCGTATAGGACCACCTCACTTTTCTTCGTTACTGGTTTAGACAACTGTAATTGCTCTCACCATAGGTGATGTGGTATTTTTGCATCGTGCAGTTCAATTTTCAATCATTCTACGCTGTCAAAATCGCTATGAATTTTGTTGTCTCGTTGCACAGTTCTCGGCCTAAAACAGTTTTGTACATGGTGGTTATGATTGAGCCTTATGGACCGATATCCCATTGCGGATTCGAATCCCTGCCACTGCTACCCTATTTCTTCATCTATGGATTTTAAAATATGCAACAATTCATCTAACTTGCGCAGGCCTCAAATATATTCGATTACTCATCGCTTTGTTTGATGCTTCACGTTTCACAGTTACATAGGACGACCTTGAACAGGACTGATATGGTCGCAAAAGAGTCAGGAGAATATAGGTGTGCTGAAGAGAATAACAAAACTGAGGAAAACCACAGTGCTGTGCGTTTGATTTCGCTTTCGGTCACTGCGGGAATTTCTGAAGCATCGTTCCCTTCGTACTCACTATGTGCTGTTCACACAGGTGTCCTCTTATATATGTGTGTGTTCGTGCTCGTGCGTAAACTCAGGATGACCTGGTGAATTCTCGACCCCCCCCCGCCGCCCTCCGCATTTTCCAGGCTGATACCAGCCGAATCAAATTGTGTGCACGAACCCCTGGAAATCGATCGCGACTTGCGATTTTGTTTGTTTGCTTGGTATTGATTATAGTTTTTGTGTGCGGTGCGGGTGACCACCGATCCAACTCTGTAGTTTATACAAACCCGAAGCGACGTTGCAAGTCGAAAAAAGGTGTAGATATTTCATTCAGCATGATGGTTAACGTCTGTGTTCTTTTATCGGCGCTCTTGCGAGAAGTCGTTATGTCACGATAACACGGAATTCTCGACAGTTCGCGTTCGCATAACAGCGAATCCCCCGGGGACATCAAACAAGCTTACTATTCAAAACTTACTCGGATTAGTGAATGCATGTCCACACGACACGGATTCGAATGCTATTCATACATTCCACGCTACGCATGTAATGGTGACAATACTGTTGCAACTCAATTAATTTCATACAGTTAACTCTATTCGAGATTGATTACGCTGGTCTTCTCGTGTTTGTACTTGGGTATGACAACTTGTATCGGTGGTGAGTTGGTGGTTGACGTATTGGTGTAAGTTACGGTCATGTGACACCTTGGTGACAGTGGCCAAGTACTCACTTCACTCAACGAGTCTTCCTCGGACGGTCGTCAGCCGGAATTATTTTATTGCTGTTTGCAAGATTTCTTTAGATAGTCTGTTTAATGAGTAAATGTTCTGCGCCATTTGATATCGAACGAACTCAATTATGAAAAGATTCTACCTAATTCCACCCATCCTTTGCACATGGACCTGTGTGAATGTGAATCCTATCCCTCCACTCGTTCCAAATACGGTCTTATTCCATCTCGGATATCTGTCTACAGAAACGTTTTGGTACTCTATCTTGCCACCGACAAAGAGAGTGTTCATTCTGAGCTTTATAATGCATTTCGGAACAAATTCACATTGTTACACGCGAGATGTCCCACTTTGTCACCTTTTGTGGCAGCATTGCGACAGTGGTTTCTTTGTTGTTGTTTTTTGGCTGAAAGTTTTCATATAACTCACTAAAGCTTCAATACAATACAATACAAAAACTGAGCTGATGACGGCGTTGGAATTTGAACATACGAGCTCCGGAGTGGTGTGTTGTTTACGCGCGTACTGCTTCACCGTTGCGAATGGCTAGTCACGTGCTTCCAAGTTCCAGGATTTACGTTGCGGTTTCATTTACTGAACTTTAAGTCCCCATAATCATAGAGACAGGGAGTTACCATGCTGGTAAGGGAACATTGTTTCAGATTCCTACTTTTTAATTCTACGCTTGAATATATTGAAAGGTCATATGATGGAAGAAAAAGAGTGTTTCCCAATTCCGTTGATCTTGAAAAAGAGAGGAGTCAAACACTGCCGATAGATAGGTATTTAGCATCACTGATTGATAGTGAATTAGCGCTTGTAACCGAATTTCGTGATCAAACGAGACTGGAAGAGGGACTAAATCGACAAGCTCCACAAAGCAAAATCCGTATGGAAAAGGTAGGAGATTTTTCAAATGCACACAATGCAATTTAAAAAAAAATTATGAGGAGATCCAGATGTGAAAGAGGAAAATTAGAGGCCTTGTAGGATTTCGGAAGATGTGAAACAAAGTTAATAAGATTTGAAATATCTATTAGGAGCCTGGGGAATGTGTTTGCGGGATGCAAGATGTTTTCGCGGCATTGAAAGAGACTCGATGTTTAGCATCCCAAGCAGCCGTGGCACTTAGGTCTAACTTGAGTGAAACTCACGCAGATGATGCACCATGAGTGATGGTGATAGAGCACGAAAAGGAAGTGTTGTTTATGAACGGACACTGTGGGTCGGCATCGTCAGTGAGAGCATGAATGTTATCAGGCTTTTAGGATAGAAGGTTGGCATTAATAATCCAAGTGGTAGAATCGATTTTTAACTATCATTACTCGAGGGGCGTTTGTTTGTGATAAAAGGAATAGGAAGGAATATTATCTAATTTGATACTCAAAAGACGTGCTAAAATCCGCTCACTTAGGAAGCGTGAATGTAGTTCAGTTTCATCTTGCGCAATCTTAGCGGATTTTGGTTCATGCCTTACTGTCACGAAGGGAACAAATGCGCTAATGAAAGAATCAATCAAGTCGTAAGAACAATACCACAGCACAATTTGAAATCTGAAAAATTGAACATGCAAGTGAAAACAAGTAGAGCACTGCTGTTAACAGCACAACTAGTTACCGACCACTTTCTTCCGGAAGCATACCATATGTTTCGCTTCCTTTTTTGTATATTCAACTGTAAATCACTTTCTTATGATGTGGCCACAGAACATGTGACCCTATCGCGTAATTCATTCAATTTGATTGCTCTTTTACGCCTACGCAGGAACGAAACGAGACTGGTGTTCAACAGACTTCGGGTGCAATGCAACGACGTTCCGCTCACGTGTGTGATGTGGTAAGCCAAAAACTGTCCGAACAAACAGCAGATCTAGAGTATGTGGATCACGTGATGGAGAAGGTGACTTTGTTACGCGATGAAGTGAGTTTGTCTGTGTGTGTGTGTGTACTCGCATGTGGGATACTTTTCTCCGTTCAACATTATCTCACTAACTGCATGCAGTATGATAACTGCGAATAGCAGAGCGTAGCACACACAAAAAAATTATCTATCAATTATCTGAAGTCGTCTCTGTGCTCACGCTCCAGATAACTGGCTTTCGGCCAGTGCAGCTTGAGAACCTGACTCAGTTTCCTTTTGAAATAATATCATGTCTGTTCCCCGGAATGAATGGCTACACTAGATACCTAGTGCAATTGGCAGTAATCAGCCCAATTTAAGTCCATTCGACAAGTACGGGAATGATGAGGAGGAAAGAGTGCAATGCGCAGTGTCAGTATAATTAAAATGTATTCAGATGTTTTCAGACTGTTTTTCATAGGCAAAAAGTGCAAAATGAAACTTCTGTAATAGGCCTGCTTTCAAATGGAAGGGGTCGGAGGACACTAGGATTAAGGAGCGTTGGGTGTATATTACCAATTTTAGACTGATTTTTCGGGTTAATTTCATTGCAATTCCTAATGAGGCACAGAAGACCGGGTTCTAGAGATTCCCGGAAACTTTGCAAGTGCTGTTTTATTTGTTGAGCTCCAGGATTCATCAAATAACCCGAGTTTTGTCGTACCTCCGCCATTCTATTTTCGATAGTACACACCCACATTTACCGAAGTCTCTCGTGATACATTGAGTCGTTTGGCTGCACGTCATCGCGTTGAAGAGGGACGCTATAGACAAGCTGGGTCAAATCTTTGTAGCGCTTTGCACGAGGTCCGTCTGGCTGCTCTCAACGAGTCTAATTTGCCATCCGAACTGGAGGCATTGCGTTTGAAACAAGCCACTAGTGAGCTGGAATTGGATAAACATTCGGTGGATGGTGCCCGATCAACAAGGACGAAATCACCGGATCTTCGTGAGTTAGTTTTATTTTTGTGTAATATTGTCCTGATGGTTCCAAAGCCACAATTTTTTTCATACTGTCAATAACTACTAACAAATTGAAAGTAGGCGCTGCGGAATCTGCACAGTTGTGGTAACCCCGTATTATGCTTATTCCTGTGAATGCAAATTGTCATAGTTCACATCTGTTTGCCACAATTTCCCAATCTCCTGTATTTGTTTGTCGCGCTGATTGCAGTTTCGGATACTGAATTGGAAAAAACACTCGACTCCGCTTTTGCCTTCTTGAACAACGAACCGTTAGGTATGAGGTTGAGTGTTGCATTCGCAAACTCGAACGTACAACAATCCAGATTGTCGTTGCAGCTGCACCCGATTTCGCCTCATCTCCTCATGTCCACTCATCGCACCTTGATTCTGTTTTATATCGTTTACCCATCATCATCATCATCATCATCACCATAATTGTTCCGCTTATTTTTACTTGTTTGGTGTTTCCCGCGCGAGAGCGAGATACAGCGAAACGTTTGCTTCTGTGTTGTCTTCCTTGTGTATTATTTGTGTCACTTTTCAGGGGTTTTTTCGAAATCCTCGCGGTGTTTTGCTTTCGTTTTTTCATTGATAAATTCGTTTCTCGTCATCCCTATATCGTGACTCGACGCTCTCACCAAGACCTTATCCTTCTACTTCCTGTTCTGTTTCGTTTTGACTACTCAAACTTGATACTATGATAAATATTTTGGATACAAAGCATTTGAACCACATTCATGCCCGACTGTGGAAAGATTGGAAAGTTTAATATTTTCGGAGAGCAAATACACCTCTGACCAGCTATCATATTGTAAATCACTCTCGGTCCCAGGTCCTTGGAGGTACACCTTGCTGGAGACGGCGGATGATAGAAGCACGATCACAAGAAAGTGGTGAATATGGCTCCATTTATTGGGCGGTCGCGGATAACCAGAGGTTCTGCCCCAGCATGTGATGGGTTTTCGCCACGCGAGCAATCGCTCTGCCACCTTGTCATAGCAACGGAGAGAGAAGGCAACCTTGCGAAAACCACTTTCCGTGGTGAACTCGGATGAAAAGGTGCCGTAAGGCTCAGTTGGCATTTGCCAACTTGAGACATTTGTGGTGCCGTCGCGACATCCGACTGTCTCTGAAGGGTCGAGTGTATGCTGCAGCAGTTCGGCCAGTGCTGCTTTACAGTGCAGAGACTTGGCCTCTATGGGAACGGGACAAAAATAGATTGTCGATGTTCGAACCCCGCTGTCTACGTCGCATTGCACAAATTTGGTGGGGTAACCGGACTAGTAATGTTGAGGTTAGGTGTAGAGTTTTAGGCAGTCGCGGTTTTCCACTGGAGCAATTGATCGACCTTCATAGATTGCGCTGGTTGGGATATGTGTTACGCATGTCACTGAATAGGTTGCCACGGCGAGCGATGTTTGCCGAGGCAGGTAGCGGTTGGAAAAGGGTCAAGGGTGATCAAACGAAGACCTGGCATGGGATTATGAAAATCCTAACCAGGTGACTAGGTCACATAGGCCCCGTTAGACTCCCTGGATGAGGACCTCGGGATGATGGTCACCGATGGTTAGAGACACTGAGTGATATGGCTGGATGTCGC